TCAGAATATAAGCTCAATGGTAGTTTTATCAGGTAGCTTTATTTAAATAGAAATATCATTTGCACATAAGAAGTACATACTCCTTCCTTGTTTTCTTTACTAAGTTTATCTGCCTTTGTATGGTTTTGAGTTAGAAATGTATTGAAATATTTAAATCTTGAATATATGTTCTACTACATGTAGAGTTATGTTTACGGTTTTTCTTTTATGTGATAATTGCATGTAAGATGGCATGGATTTTCACATAGCATTATTTTAAGAGACAAAATAATTTCTGCAGCCAACATGTGAAAATTTTGACAATGCTGGCCTTTTCTAAGAATGGCTTTAATTATATTCTAGCACAACACCACCTCTGGGGATATTCAGGTAGGATGATGCTGTGCTTATTTGAAACTTAATGTTTCTGTGTATTTGGTTATTTTAATCTTGTTTTTCCATTTACTCAATAACTAGAAATTATGTCAACAATTTTTTTCCAGTAATAATAACTATTAAAGGAGAGAGGAAACTATATTAATAGACATATTATTATAAATACTACAGTAGAACCATGTTTAAATATAATGTGGAAGCATTCATTTCCTAGATCCGTTTATCTCATATGAAAAAATGAATTTGCATTTTATCTTTTAAGCTGTGGTCTATAATGGGAAAGTGTCACACGAATACACCCCTATTATTAGATACACAAACATTTAGATTTAAGACAGTAGAAGGGAGACATGTCAGGACTTGAAAACCTCAGGGGTGACATTTTGAGATCTGGGTTCTTGAGCAGATGTGGCTGCTGGTGAAGAGGATCCCAGCATTCAGCTGTGGAAACACGGCATGCTGGCAGGCCCCCCTTTCAAAGCCTGGAGTACAGACTGTACTCTTAGCTTGCTTCTTGAATATAAGATAAAGGTTTTGACTTCACTTATGGAATTATTTTCTCCGAGTTCCAGTGTCACTTGGAAAGTGGCTTAGAAGATAGTACACGTTGGTTTTTTGACAAAACTACTTTTATAGTTGACTTGTATTCAAATAATTCTTTGAAGCAGGCTCTACCACTACAAAAACTGAGAAACCAACACATAATAATGGCAATTTATGTAAATGTTAAACATATTTCAAGTTTTCATTGAAAGCAACCTATCATGTATAGCTTAATAGTCTGATGTGTCAAAGGCCTTAACCTTCTGCTGTGTAAGGTATAATTTAAGATCAAAACATTTCCTGTAATTGGGCAGCACACACCACACCTGCGCTCAGATGACAGCTGGACTTCAGGAATTCCTCCAAGAATTGCTGAGGCACCTGCACTAGTGCAGCGGTGGGCTGCTCTGGGATTGTTAACTGTAGGAGATCAGACATTTCGAGTGGGGGCTACAGGGCCAACTGCCCTCCCTGGCTGTTAGGGAACAGCTGTCCCTCTGCTGCCCTACTTTTTTTGATAATTTCACTGATCTTATGGACATCAATTTATTGAGGTTTTCCTCTGATTACGTATGTTTTTGCAAAGACTTGAGTATCTCTTAGCAGTGGGGTGGTGCTCAAATGCATCAGCCATCAGCACTGCCATTGTGCAGAGAAAGTAAGACGCCCCCAGGGGCTGCCTCATAGCCAGCGCCTTCCCAACAGCCTCCTGAGCTGCATCATACCAGCAGTTTTAATAAGCTACTCTCATTTTTCTTTCTAAAATTGTGATTTGAGTGACAGTTTGCATAGAAAATGTTTTAAACTAACTTTTTAGATAGCTAAAATCAGGCCAGGAGCTCTAGTGGCATAGACCACAGTGAATTGCTCTGCCAGTCCAAAGTCTGCTTCTCTATGGTGGTTGGAATCCACCAGGGGCTCCGAGGAAGAAAGATGGGCAGTCTTCTCTTATTACTATTACAGTAGCTGCGGGAATGTGATGGAAGGCCATTCTGAGTTGGAATTGACTTGATGGCAGGGAGTTGACTATGAGTTTTTAAAGTGAATAATACCTGGTTTCCATGCCTGTTGAAAATTTGGCCCACAATTCATGACTGCACATGTGCAGTTTGCATAGAGACTTGCTGTGTTGAGGTGCTTCTTTACAACATAAAGGGCTGCAACTGGTGATACAAAACCACAGCCCAAGTGTGTACATTCTTCCTGAATTAAATGCTAATACTTGATTATAGATTAGATAAAAATCTTTTCAGAACAATGTTGGTATTGTAATTAACCTCTTTTAATAGAGCTGATGATTTTAAAGGCCAGCTTGCAGAAACTCTGAACAATCTATTAAAATGCTCTAACATTATTTTGCTGATCCTATTTCACAATCTCAGTGACCTTCTCACCTAGAAATGAAGACTTTTTTTTGTGTTAACCTTTATACTTTAGATAAAAGCCAAATGGTTTAAGTATAAAACAAAATAGAAATCAGGGAATCAAATTAAATAGATTTATATGCTTAGAATTCTATCTGCCAGCATTTTCTCTCTCCTTTATTTTTCTCTCATGTTTCTTCAGTTGCGCATGACTGCTGTGTTAGTCGCATGCCATATGTGATGTGATGTGATGTGTGTGTGTGTGTTTAGATGGCATTAATATTAAGTGATTGTCCTGAAAATAGATATGTGTTTTATAAATAGACCAATTTCATGCAAGGATATTAAACGAGATAGCTCCCAAATGCATGCCATGTAACAATTCTTAACATAAAACCAAGTGGGATGATGATTTCATAAGTGATTTTTCTGAGTGTTGTGAATTTTAATGTCTAACCTTTCATCTACCTAAAGTGTTATAGCTCTGCCTTCTTTATGATTTAGATATTCTGTTTTAAGCATTTAAGAACAACTCATTACAAATGAATTTCAAAATTCTGTTTTAAATGAATCATAAGCTAAAGCAGCAACACAAGTCACACTGCTGACAAGATTTTAAAACTTCTTTAACGTTATTACTCAGCTTCCTTCAGAAGTGGCACAATGGTTCAGAGCTTGGCTGCTGACCCAACAGACAAACAGTTTGAACCTGCCAATGGGAGAAAGATGGGGCAGTCTGCTCCCACCCAGGCCTCAACCTAGGAAGCCCTGTGGAGTTCTGCTCTGTCAGTGGAGTCGCTGGTGGTCAGACTGGATTTGGTATAAAAAAGTCTGATTTCATTGAGCTCACTCATTGTACATTACACAGAATGAAAATACTTAGAATTTGGTGTAAATATCCTATTCAGAAATGGGAAAAAAAAAGTATTATTATAATGTGAAAGACAGATTTCTTAGTGAAAGGTAAAAATGCCCTTTTCTGATGTGTCAGATTCTGAGATAAAGATGTCATTTTTATTTGTTAAAAAAAGATACAAAAAATTTATACCATTTAGTTTAAAAAAATGATATAAAAAAATCTTAAGGGGCCTGAAGTGTCCCTTTACAACATTTTCCAAAATTACTCTTTTAAGAATCTAGAAATTTTATGCATATATGGAAAATGGAATGTTTGTGTTCAACAAGACCACATGTGATTGGAGATACTCTTAATTTACTTCCATGGACACATACGTTCCTGTAGATATTAGTATTTTTCTTGGATGGGCTCCAGCTCATAGTGAGTGACCTCATGTGCAACTGAACACAACCCTGCCCGATCCCCTGCCATCCTTACAATTACTGCAGCCACAGTGTTAGTTCATCTCACTGAGAGTCTTCCTCTTTCTCTTTGTTTCTACTGGCATTATAAATACCCAGAAACACAAACATGCTTGAAATACAAATTTTATACCAGATCAGTTGTGTTTCACAAGTCAGCAAAGATATCTTTACTCTCCAAACAGTATCTTGTTAGTTTCCCTGATTAAGACAACACACACAGGAGAGCACCTCTGGTTGGGGTATAGCCCCTGCCTTTGTGACACTGCTTTGCTGCCTTTACTCACTTTTAAAGCATTTCTCCAAAATCCTGGGGGTCTGAAGAAGATAAAGTAAAAGCTGTGTTTAATACCAGGTAAGAGTCATCTAGATAGGTGGTAAATATGCTGCATGGTTATGTGTATAACATAAGCAGTCAGTAGACTATATTTTCACTTTTATTTTCCCCCCTCCTAGATGAAAAAGTAAAGTTAGGAAGGATGAAATTATATGCACATTGCATATCTGTTTATTGATTAAAAGAAAACTAATGCTCTTCATTGCTTCAACTTTAGGAAGTGTTGAGGTGGAGAATCCTGCCTTCTGTTTTCTTACATCACAAGCCTTCTGTGCCCTATACAACCATACAATATTTTGAAATATTAAGCAACGACATTGTTGTGAGGTGCTCTTGAGTCCACTCTCATTCATAGTGACCCAATGTATACAATAAGTCGAAACCCTGCCCCATCCCATCCCATTCTCATTGTCTGCATTGTGTTTAAGCCCATTGTTGTAGTTAGGAGTGTTGCTGTTATACTGGAAGCTGTGCCATTGGCATTTCAAATACCAGCAGAGTCACAGGTAGGGACAGATTTCAGCAGAGCTTCCAGACAAAGGCAGATTAGGAGGTAGGACAGGCTGTCTACTTCTGAGATAATGGACCCTTGAAAACCCTCTGAATAGCGATGATATAGTGAAGTTAAAAGCAATTCATATCATGTGTGCTTATAAATTACTGGCCCTTAAAGAAAAAAATATGCTTGCATAAACTTTTCTTTAATACATTTATTTGTGGACAAAGGGTCAAAATGATTTCCCAGGTTGATTCTAGTTGTAGAATCTTATAGGATATTTTTAAAAGCACATTTAAATGTGCTTGGTATCTTCATAAATTTCTTTTAAAAAACCACTTTTTGGAAAGGATCATTTCTTCCATATTCTATGTAAGGATTTATATATAAAGCATCTTTATAGTTAAGATTTTCTTAGCTTACCTCTGTTGAAGTTGTGAAATTTTTATGGTGTTCCTATAACTTTTAAAATGACTTTTTAGTACTAGCAAACCTTTGAGACTAGAAAGTAAAATGTCACAGTAAGATTCTGTGCATTTATGACCTTTCTGTCTGTAATTTGCAGGAAGACCCTGTACCCAGCTTCAGCTTCTCAATCCAGAGCGATTTGCACGTCTTATCAAAGAAGTGGTGAATATATTCTGGTCTGGCAGAGACCTGCTTGTACATTGGTATCCATTCAGCGATGACAAAAAACACCCACCTATTTCCTGGCTAAAGATGGTGTGGAAAAACCTCTATATCCACTTTTCTGAGGACCTGACCCTGTTTGATGAGATGCCACTTATCCCCAGAACCACACTAGAAGACCAGACATGTATTGAGCTCATTAGACTCCGAATCCCCTCAGTAGTGATTTTAGATGATGAATCTGAAGCCCAGCTTCCAGAATTTCTGGCAGACATTGTCCAGAAGCTTGGAGGAATTGTCCTTAAAAGACTCGATGCCTCCATCCAGCATCCGCTTATTAAGAAATATATTCACCCCCCTTTACCAAGTGCTGTTTTGCAGATCATGGAGAAGATGCCATTGCAGAAACTGTGTAATCAGGTTGCTTCGCTCCTTCCAACACACAAAGATGCCCTGAGGAAGTTCTTAGCTAGTTTAACTGATAGCAGTGAAAAGGAGAAGAGAATAATTCAAGAACTTCCAGTCTTCAAGAGGGTTAATCATTCATCGGGTCAGGGAATTTCCTCTTACACAAAACTGAAAGGCTGTAAAGTTTTGCATCATACTGCCAAGCTCCCACCTAACTTGCGACTGTCTATGTCTGTAATAGACAGTAGTGATGAGGCTACCATTCGTTTGGCAAATATGCTGAAAATAGAAAAACTGAAGACCACTAGCTGCTTAAAGTTTGTTTTGAAAGACATTGAGAATGCATTTTACTCACATGAGGAGATCAAACAGCTTCTATTGTGGATTCTTGAGAATCTATCCTCCCTGAAGAAGGAAAATTCCAATGTGATTGATTGGTTGATGCCATTGAAATTCATTCAGCTTTCGCAGGAAAAGATGGTGTCTGCCAGTGAACTCTTTGATCCCGATGCTGAAGTACTGAAGGACCTCTTCTATGATGAGGAAGAAATCTGTTTTCCACCTTCAGCTTTTACCTCACCTGATATTCTTCATTCTATGAGACAGATTGGCTTAAAAAATGAAGCTAGTCTCAAGGAGAAAGATGTCGTGCAGGTGGCCAAAAAAATAGAAGCTTTACAGGCCAGTTCTTGTCCAAATCCAGATGCTCTTTTAAAGAAAGCCAAGACCCTCTTACTGGTTTTGAATAAGAACCATGCATTGTTGCAGTCAGCAGAGGGAAAAATGACATTGAAGAAAACTAAGTGGGTTCCAGCCTGCAAAGAGAGGCCTCCCAACTACCCAGGCTCTTTAGTCTGGAAGGGAGATCTCTGTGATCTTTGTGCACCCCCGGAGATGTGTGATGTAGGGCATGCAATTCTAGTTGGCTCGTCAGTCCCTCTTGTTGAAAGTCTCCATGTAAACCTGGAGAAAGCCTTAGGCATTTTCACCAAACCCACCATCAGTGCTGTCTTAAAACACTTTAAAGTTGTTGTGGACTGGTATACTTCAAAAACCTTTAGTGATGAAGACTATTACCAGTTCCAGCATATTTTGCTTGAAATTTATGGATTCATGCATGACCATTTAGATGAAGGCAAAGATTCTTTTAGAGCCTTAAAATTTCCATGGGTCTGGACTGGCAAAAAATTTTGTCCTCTTGCCCAGGCAGTGATCAAACCGATCCACGATTTGGACCTTCAGCCTTATCTGCACAGTGTGCCTAAAACCATGGCAAAATTCCACCAGTTGTTTAAAGCCTGTGGGTCTATAGAGGAGTTGACATCAGATCACATTTCAATGGTCATCCAGAAAATCTATCTCAAAAGTGATCAAGAGCTCAGTGAGCAAGAAAGCAAGCAAAATCTTCACCTCATGTTGAACATCATCAGATGGCTGTACAGCAGTCAGATTCCAGCAAGCCCCAACACCCCTGTCCCCATCCATCTCAGCAAAAGCCCTTCTAAACTCGTCATGAAGCCAATTCATGAATGCTGCTACTGTGATATCAAGGTGGATGACCTCAATGACTTACTGGAGGATTCAGTGGAGCCAATCATTCTGGTGCATGAAGACATACCCATGAAAACTGCAGAATGGCTAAAAGTCCCATGCCTCAGTACAAGACTGATCAATCCTGAAAACATGGGCTTTGAGCAATCAGGGCAAAGAGAACCACTGACAGTGAGAATAAAGAATATTTTGGAAGAATATCCATCAGTGTCAGATATCTTCAAAGAGCTCCTACAGAATGCTGATGATGCCAATGCAACTGAATGCAGCTTCTTGATCGACATGAGGAGGAATATGGACATCAGGGAGAATCTCCTGGACCCCGGGATGGCAGCTTGCCATGGCCCCGCTTTGTGGTCTTTCAATAATTCTGAGTTCTCGGATTCAGATTTTCTGAATATCACTCGACTTGGAGAATCCCTCAAGAGAGGAGAAGTGGACAAAGTTGGGAAGTTTGGTCTTGGATTCAACTCCGTGTACCACATCACCGATATTCCCATCATCATGAGTCGAGAATTCATGATCATGTTTGACCCCAACATAAACCACATCAGTAAGCACATCAAAGACAAGTCCAATCCAGGCATTAAAATCAACTGGAGTAAACAACAGAAGAGACTCAGGAAGTTTCCCAATCAGTTCAAACCCTTTATAGATGTTTTTGGCTGCCAGTTGCCCCTGACTGTGGAAGCCCCCTACAGCTACAAGGGCACCCTCTTCCGGCTTTCCTTTCGAACGCAGCAGGAAGCCAAAGTGAGCGAAGTCAGCAGCACTTGCTACAACACAGCAGATATATACTCCCTGGTGGACGAATTTAGTCTCTGTGGGCACCGGCTGATCCTTTTCACGCAGAGTGTCAATTCCATGTATCTGAAATACTTGAAAATTGAAGAAAGCAACCCCAGCTTGGCACAAGACACAATCATCATCAAAAAGAGAATTTGTGCTTCCAAAGCGCTGACGGCACCTGTCCTGAGTGTGCTCAAAGAAGCAGCCAAACTCATGAAGACTTGTGGCAGTGGGAGTACCAAGAAGCTCCCCAGCGAGGCCCCCAAGTCATCCTGCATCCTGCAGATCACTGTGGAGGAGTTTCACCACGTGTTTAGGCGCATCGCTGACTTGCACTCCCCACTATTCCGAGGCCCAGATGATGACCCAGCGACCATTTTTGAAATGGCAAAATCGGGCCAAACCAAGAAGCCTTCAGATGAGCTACCACAGAAGACCATGGAGTGCACCACCTGGCTGCTCTGCACCTGCATGGATACGGGCGAGGCGCTCAAGTTCTCCCTGAGCGAGAGTGGGAGGAGATTGGGACTCGTCCCGTGTGGTGCTGTGGGCGTACTACTCTCTGAGGCCCAGGACCAGAAGTGGCTGGTGAAGCCCCATGCGGGAGAAGTCTTCTGCTATTTACCGTTACGCATAAAGACAGGCTTGCCTGTTCACATTAATGGCTGTTTTGCTGTTACTTCAAATAGGAAAGAGATCTGGAAGACGGATACGAAAGGGCGTTGGAACACCACCTTTATGAGGCATGTTGTGGTGAAGGCCTACTTGGAGGCCCTCAGCGTCCTGCGGGACCTGGCCATTGCCGGCGAGTTGGCTGACTACACCTACTATGCTGTCTGGCCTGATCCTGACTCTGTTCATGATGATTTCTCTGTCATTTGCCAAGGATTTTATGAAGATATCGCTCACGGGAAAGGGAAGGAACTTACCAAAGTCTTCTCAGATGGGTCCACATGGGTCTCCATGAAGAATGTGCGATTTCTAGATGACTCTATACTACAAAGGAAAGATGTTGGTCCTGCGGCCTTCAAGATATTTTTGAAATACCTCAAGAAGACTGGGTCTAAAAACCTGTGTGCTGTGGAGCTGCCGCCTTCAGTCAAGCTAGGATTTGAGGAAGCTGGCTGTAAACAAATCCTTCTGGAAAACACTTTTTCAGAGAAGCAGTTCTTTTCAGAAGTGTTCTTTCCTAACATTCAGGAAATCGAAGACAAATTTAGGGATCCTTTGATGAATTTTGTTCTGAATGAAAAAGTAGATGAATTCTCTGGGATTCTCCGTGTGACACCCTGCATCCCTTGCTCTTTAGAGGGGCATCCTTTGGTCTTACCCTCCAGGCTGATCCATCCTGAAGGGCGAGTGGCAAAGTTATTTGATATCAAAGATGGGCGTTTCCCCTATGGCTCCACTCAGGATTATCTTAATCCCATTATCTTGATTAAACTAGTCCAACTAGGTATGGCCAAAGATGACATTTTATGGGATGACATGCTAGAAAGGGCAGAGTCAGTGGCCGAAATTAACAAAAGTGACCACGCTGCTGCTTGTCTAAGAAGTAGTATCCTGTTAAGTCTCATTGATGAGAAACTGAAAATCAGGGATCCGAGAGCAAAAGACTTTGCTGCAAAATACCAAACGATTCCTTTTCTTCCTTTCCTGACGAAGCCAGCAGGCTTCTCTTTGGAGTGGAAAGGAAACAGTTTCAAGCCTGAAACCATGTTTGCAGCCACAGATCTGTATACAGCCGAGCATCAGGATGTTGTTTGTCTTTTGCAACCAATACTGAATGAAAATTCCCATTCCTTCAGAGGCTGTGGCTCTATGTCCCTGGCTGTTAAAGAGTTTCTGGGATTACTTAAGAAGCCAACAGTTGAGCTGGTTATAAATCAGTTGAAGGAAGTTGCCAAGTCAGTTGATGACGGGATTACGTTATACCAGGAGAACATCACCAATGCTTGCTACAAATACCTCAATGAAGCAATGATGCAAAACGAAGTCACAAAGCTGTCAGTCGTTGAGAAGTTGAAAACCTGCAGCTTCATTCTTGTGGAAAATGCTTATGTTGATCCCGAAAAGGTCTCTTTTCACCTGAACTTTGAAGCAGCCCCTTATCTCTATCAACTGCCTAACAAATATAAAAACAATTTCCGTGAGCTCTTTGAAAGCGTGGGTGTGAGGCAGTCATTTATGGTGGAGGATTTCGCCCTTGTCCTGGAATCCATAGATCAAGAAAGAGGATCAAAGCAAATCACAGAGGAGAACTTCCAGCTTTGCCGGCGGATCATCAGTGAAGGAATATGGAGTCTCATTAGGGACAAGAAGCAGGAGTTTTGTGAGAAGAAATATGGCAAGATATTATTGCCTGACACCAACCTGGCACTTCTCCCAGCCAAATCTTTGTGCTATAATGACTGTCCCTGGATCAAAGTGAAAGACAGTACTGTGAAATATTGTCATGCAGATATTCCCAGGGAAGTAGCTGTAAAGCTTGGAGCAGTGCCAAAACGGCACAAAGCCCTGGAAAGATATGCATCCAATGTCTGCTTCACCACACTGGGCACTGAGTTTGGGCAGAAAGAGAAACTCACAAGCAGAATTAAGAGCATTCTGAATGCCTACCCTTCAGAAAAGGAAATGCTGAAGGAACTGCTTCAGAACGCTGATGATGCCAAAGCCACCGAAATCTGCTTTGTGTTTGACCCCCGGCAGCACCCAGTGGACAGGATTTTTGATGACAAGTGGGCACCACTGCAGGGCCCCGCTCTGTGCGTGTACAACAACCAGCCCTTCACAGAAGATGATGTCAGAGGGATCCAGAATCTGGGGAAAGGCACCAAGGAGGGAAACCCTTGCAAAACAGGCCAGTACGGAATAGGTTTCAACTCTGTGTATCACATTACTGACTGCCCTTCCTTCATCTCTGGCAATGACATCCTGTGCATCTTCGACCCTCATGCTCGCTATGCTCCAGGTGCCACGTCAGTCAGCCCTGGCCGCATGTTCAGGGACTTGGATGCAGACTTCAGGACGCAGTTCTCAGATGTTCTGGATCTTTACCTGGGCACCCACTTCAAACTGGACAACTGCACTATGTTCCGGTTCCCTCTCCGCAATGCAGACATGGCAAAGGTCTCGGAAATCTCCTCGGTCCCCTCCTCAGACCGCATGGTCCAGAATCTGCTGGACAAGCTACGCTCCGATGGGGCTGAGCTCCTCATGTTCCTGAACCACATGGAGAAGATTTCTATCTGCGAGATCGACAAGGGCACTGGGGTGCTGAATGTATTGTACTCCGTCAAGGGCCAGATCACTGATGGGGACAGACTGAAAAGGAAGCAGTTCCATGCTTCTGTGATTGACAGTGTGACCAAGAAGAGGCAGCTCAAAGACATCCCGGTCCAGCAGATCACCTATACCATGGACACTGAGGACTCAGAGGGCAATCTCACCACCTGGCTGATTTGCAATCGATCAGGCTTCTCAAGTATGGAGAAGGTGTCCAAGAGTGTCATCTCAGCCCACAAGAACCAGGACATCACACTCTTCCCACGTGGTGGGGTGGCCGCTTGCATTACCCACAACTACAAAAAACCCCACCGGGCCTTCTGCTTCCTGCCCCTGTCACTAGAGACCGGGTTGCCCTTCCATGTCAATGGCCACTTTGCCCTTGATTCAGCCCGAAGGAACCTGTGGCGGGATGATAACGGTGTGGGTGTCCGAAGTGACTGGAACAATAGCTTGATGACAGCGCTGATAGCTCCAGCCTACGTGGAGCTACTCATCCAGCTGAAAAAGCGCTACTTCACCGGTTCAGACCCCACCATGTCGGTCCTGCAGAACACACCCATCCATGTTGTAAAGGATACCCTGAAGAAGTTTCTATCATTTTTCCCTGTTAACAGACTTGACCTGCAGCCAGACTTGTACTGCCTGGTGAAGGCGCTGTACAGCTGCATCCATGAGGACATGAAGCGCCTGCTGCCTGTCGTCCGCGCGCCCAATATTGACGGCTCTGACTTGCACTCAGCGGTTATTATCACTTGGATCAACATGTCTACTTCAAACAAAATGAGACCCTTTTTTGACAACCTGCTGCAGGATGAACTGCAGCATCTGAAAAACGCTGACTACAACATCACAACGCGCAAAACAGTAGCAGAGAACGTGTATAGGCTGAAGCATCTACTTTTAGAAATAGGTTTCAATTTGGTGTATAACTGTGACGAGACGGCTAATCTCTACCACTGTCTCAAGGATGCTGATATCCCCGTCAGCTATGTCACTCCCACAGATGTCCGATCTTTCTTAATGACCTTTTCCTCCCCTGATACGAACTGCCATATCGGAAAGCTGCCTTGCAGACTTCAGCAGACCAACCTCAAGCTTTTCCATAGTTTAAAATTGTTGGTTGATTATTGTTTCAAGGATGCGGAGGAAAATGAGATTGAAGTGGAGGGCCTGCCCCTACTCATCACCCTGGACAGTGTGCTGCAAACTTTTGATGCCAAGCGGCCAAAGTTCCTGACAACCTACCACGAACTGATTCCTTCTCGCAAAGACTTATTCATGAACACACTGTATTTGAAATACAGCACTATCTTACTGAGCCGAAACGTCGCCAAGGTGTTTGACATTTCAAGCTTTGCTGATCTGTTGTCCTCAGTGTTGCCTCGGGAGTATAAGACCAAGAATTGTACTCGGTGGAAAGATAATTTTGCCAGTGAGTCTTGGCTAAAGAACACATGGCATTTTATAAGTGAATCTGTAAGTGTGAAGGAGGACCAGGAAGAGACCAAACCAACGTTTGACATTGTTGTTGACACCCTAAAAGACTGGGCCTTGCTTCCTGGGACAAAGTTTACAGTTTCAGCAAATCAGCTTGTGGTTCCTGAGGGTGATGTCCTGCTCCCGCTAAGCCTCATGCACATAGCAGTTTTCCCAAATGCCCAGACTGATAAAGTTTTCCATGCCCTCATGAAAGCTGGCTGCATTCAGCTGGCTTTGAACAAGATCTGCTCTAAGGACAGTGCATTTGTCCCTCTGCTGTCATGCCACACAGCAAACATAGAGAGTCCCTCAAGTATTTTGAAGGCCTTGCACTATATGGTCCAGACTTCCACATTTAGAACGGAAAAGTTAGTAGAAAGTGACTTTGAGGCACTTTTGATGTATTTCAGCTGCAATCTGAGTCACTTGATGGCTCAGGATGACATTAAAATCTTGAAGTCTCTTCCATGTTACAGATCCATCAGTGGTCGCTATATGAGCATTGCAAAATTTGGCACCTGCTATGTACTTACAAAAAGTATCCCATCAGTTGAAGTGGAAAAATGGACACAATCATCCTCCTCTGCATTCCTGGAGGAAAAAATTCACCTGAAGGAGCTCTATGAGATGGTAGGCTGTGTACCTGTGGATGACCTGGAAGTGTATCTGAAACACCTCTTGCCCAAAATTGAAAATCTTTCTTATGATGGAAAGTTAGAGCACTTGATCTACCTGAAGAACCAGTTATCTAGTATTGAAGAAGTATCAGAGATTAAAGAACAACTTTTTGAAAAACTGGAAAGCTTGTTGATAATCTACGATACCAACAACCGCCTGAAGCAAGCAAAACATTTCTATGATCGGACTGTGAAGGTTTTTGAAGTTATGCTTCCTGAGAAATTGTTTATCCCTAAGGATTTCTTTAAAAAATTGGAGCAGCTTATAAAACCCAAAAATCAGAGTGCATTTATGACATCCTGGGTGGAGTTCTTAAGAAACATTGGACTAAAATACATCCTCTCTCAACAGCAGTTGCTCCAGTTTGCTAAGGAAATCAGTGTGCGGGCGAACACAGAGAACTGGTCGAAAGAAACACTGCAAAATACTGTTGATATCCTTCTCCATCATATATTCCAAGAGAGAACGGATCTGTTGTCTGGGAACTTCCTGAAAGAATTGTCCTTGATCCCATTCTTATGTCCTGAGAGGGCCCCAGCTGAATTCATCCGGTTTCATCCTCAATATCAAGAGGTGAATGGGACACTGCCACTTATAAAGTTTAATGGTGCACAGGTCAACCCAAAATTCAAACAGTGTGATGTGCTGCAGCTTCTGTGGACATCCTGCCCCATTCTTCCAGAGAAGGCCACCCCTCTGGGTATCAAAGAGCAAGAAGGCAGTGACCTTGGTCCTCAAGAGCAGCTGGAACAAGTGTTAAGCATGCTTAATGTTAACTTGGACCCCCCTCTGGATAAGGTCATCAATAACTGCCGGAACATATGCAACATTACAACTTTGGATGAAGAAATGGTGAAAACCAGAGCTAAGGTCCTAAGGAGCATCTATGAGTTCCTCAGCGCAGAAAAGAGGGAGTTCCGCTTTCAGCTGCGTGGTGTTGCTTTTGTGATGGTAGAAGATGGTTGGAAGCTCTTGAAGCCTGAAGAGGTGGTGATCAATTTAGAATATGAGTCTGATTTCAAACCTTATCTGTACAAGCTGCCTTTAGAACTGGGTACTTTCCATCAGCTGTTCAAGCTGTTGGGCACCGAGGATATTATTTCTACCAAGCAATACGTGGAAGTGCTGAGCCGCATATTCAAAAATTCTGAAGGCAAACAACTGGATCCCAATGAGATGCGTACCGTCAAGAGAGTGGTTTCGGGCCTGTTTAAAAGTCTGCAGAATGACTCCGTCAAGGTAAGAAGTGATCTGGAGAACGTGAGAGACCTGGTCCTGTACCTTCCCAGCCAAGATGGCAGACTGGTGAAGTCGAGCATCCTGGTGTTTGATGATGCACCACATTATAAAAGTAGGATCCAAGGGAATATTGGTGTTCAGATGCTGGTGGACCTTAGCCAGTGCTACCTGGGTAAGGACCACGGATTTCACACCAAGCTCATAATGCTTTTCCCGCAGAAACTCAGACCTCGCCTTCTCAGCAGCATCCTTGAAGAACAGCTGGACGAAGAGACTCCCAAGGTCTGCCAGTTTGGGGCGCTGTGTTCTCTCCAGGGGAGATTGCAGCTGCTCCTCTCCTCAGAGCAGTTCATCACGGGCCTCATCAGGATCATGAAGCATGAAAATGACAATGCTTTCCTGGCCAATGAAGAGAAGGCCATCCGGCTTTGCAAAGCCCTGAGAGAAGGCCTGAAGGTGTCCTGCTTTGAGAAGCTTCAGACGACACTGAGGGTGAAAGGGTTCAACCCTATACCCCACAGCAGGAGTGAAACATTCGCCTTCTTGAAGAGGTTTGGCAATGCAGTCATTCTGCTCTACATCCAGCACTCAGACAGCAAAGACATCAACTTTCTCCTCGCACTGGCAATGACACTGAAGTCAGCTACTGACAACTTGATCTCAGACACGTCCTATTTGATTGCGATGCTTGGATGCAATGACATTTACAGAATCAGTGAGAAGCTTGATAGTTTAGGAGTAAAATATGACTCCTCAGAGCCATCCAAACTCGAACTGCCCATGCCAGGCACCCCCATCCCAGCTGAGATCCACTATACTCTGCTTATGGACCCCATGAATGTCTTTTACCCTGGAGAATACATTGGCTACCTTGTGGATGCAGAAGGTGGTGATATCTATGGATCATACCAGCCAACATATACATATGCAATTATTGTGCAAGAGGTTGAAAGGGAAGATGCGGAAAACTGCAGCTTTCTGGGAAAGATCTATCAGATTGACATTGGTTATAGCGAATACAAGATCGTTAGCTCTCTTGATCTGTATAAGTTTTCAAGGCCAGATGAAAGTACTCATAACAGAGACAGTGCCCCGTCCACCCCAACCAGCCCCACAGAGTTTCTGGTCCCAGGACTTCGGAGCATCCCCCCTCTCTTTTCCGGCAGAGAGAGCCACAAGACCTCGTCTTCCAAACACCATTCCCCCAAGAAGCTGAAAGCCCATTCCCTACCAGAAATCCTGAAAGAGGTGACATCAGTGGTGGAGCAAGCATGGAAGCTTCCAGAATCAGAAAGGAAAAAGATCATTAGACGGCTGTATCTCAAGTGGCACCCTGACAAAAATCCCGAGAACCACGACCTGGCCAATGAAGTGTTTAAGCACCTGCAGAATGAAATTAACAGATTAGAGAAGCAGGCTTTTCTGGATCAAAATGCAGACAGGGCCTCCCGGCGGACTTTTCCCACCTCTTCATCCCGATTTCAATCAGACAAGTACTCTTTTCAGAGATTTTATACCTCCTGGAACCAAGAAGCCACAAGCCATAAATCGGAAAGGCAGCAACAAAATAAAGAAAAATGTCCGCCCACCTCTGGGCAGACTTACTCACAGCGGTTCTTTGTCCCTCCCACGTTCAAGTCTGTGGGCAATCCCGTAGAAGCACGGAGGTGGTTAAGGCAAGCTAGGGCTAACTTCTCTGCAGCCAGAAATGATCTGCACAAGAACGCCAACGAGTGGGTGTGTTTCAAATGTTACCTCTCCACCAAGTTGGCCTTGATCGCAGCTGACTATGCAGTGCGGGGCAAGTCTGACAAAGATGTGAAGCCAACAGCACTTGCCCAGAAAATAGAGGAGTATAGCCAGCAGCTGGAAGGCCTGACGAATGATGTGCACACGCTAGAAGCCTACGGTGTAGACAGCCTCAAAACTAGATACCCTGACTTGCTTCCTTTCCCCCAGATCCCCAATGACAGGTTCACTTCTGAGGTGGCCATGAGGGTGATGGAGTGCACTGCTTGTATTATCATAAAACTTGAGAATTTCATCCAGCAGAAAGTGTGAGGTCCTCGCAAAGGAGCAGCGCTAGACCTTGGATGTGTCAGAGCACAAATAGCAATTGCTGTATTTCCCTAACCTTGTTACCATAGAGCCACGACTTGGGAAACAAGTTTGTAGACTATTCTTGAAGAATGTTGGGCTGATTATGAAGATGAACAAAAACAGGAAACCTTGTTGTCAGGTGCTGTTGAAACCTTTTCAGCTCATAGTGACCCCAGATTCAACAGGGCCAAATGCAAAGGGAGAGATTTTGAAGAAGGGGGATGAACTGAAAGGTGGGTAGAGGTATTGAATAGCTAGGATGGCACATTTTGTCACTGCACTTTATGTAACCAAAGCTTAGCAGTTTCTTAGATAGGAATCTATGTATGGCTCCAGTTGGGAAGCAGTATTTTCATAGGCTATTTTTGAAGGAGCTAATGAAACACTGGACATATCATTGATTTTGAACAAATAAGGGGAATTAAATCTTTGGAGTTTATAATTTTTTTATTTTTTTTTTTTTTTAGTGAATTCACTTTTGGATGCACTCTGGTGTCTAATCAGCTGGATCTGATTATGAATTTGCTGCCATTTTACAATTTAAGTAACTGATATATTTAAAGAAAAAGGTACAGTCTTTTCATCCTGAATATTACTTGAGTGAGAACATGTAGACAGTACTTCGGGAGATGCCCAGGGTGCATATCCCACATTTATTTTATATTTGTTTCACACCTTATGTTTACATACTTCCTGTTTCATAGACATGGCAGACCAGAAATGCAAAAAGGTGGCAGTTTTTATGCCTAGATGTTAATATTGTTTCTGAAGACTGCTTACTAAAGCACTGTCTAGCACCCTTTGGAGCACTGGCTTGATGTCTGTTGTACATATGTTCCACAAGTGTTGTAATTTATGTAGTGTGATTGAACAGGATGTGAATTTTTGTTTCATTTCTTAATGGTGCTGAAGTAAAAAAAAAAAAGTCTTTCAATATGGCACTTGATGGGGTCTTTTGGATTTTAAAGGGTTAAAAATATAACAATGTTTATGACAGTTACCCAAGTTGTTATAAAAGAGGAATTGATTATGAATTTTCTTTTCCCCTACAAATGATTCAGAACTGACAATATCATGCTCAAAAGTTTTACCATGTACTTAGTTATATTAACAGGTTTCTTTTTTGGATGGTGAAAGACAGACAGATAATGATAATTAGTTTATATAAGTGTACTGGCTGTAAATTATGCTAAATAAAATATTTTATGCAATTAAGGGCTTAAAGAATATGTTAAAACTTTTTTACTTTTATGGGTAATAAGGAATGTTTGCACCTCCAAAACTGTATTGTTTCTGGATGTGGAGCTATATAATTATTTCTGCTGTTATTAAGTGCCATAATTTTAATAAATTAAAATGTACATATGGCATCATTGTAACTGATATTTCCTGAGCAACCAGTCATTGGAAATTAAACTCGCTATCTTCTTTTATTAAGATTTGGTGTGTGCATAGGTGTGAATGTGTGTATTTCCTAGAAATACTAGAATAGTTTTCTTAACATACTTTCATGCTGAAATTTTAGTAGATTTATTTTGTGTCATTAATTAGCTATGATGTGTTTGCTATATGCTAGGTTTAAGATGTGCTTATTGATATACTTGAGTTTGATTTCATTTTTTCAAAGACTAAGATGGAATGTACATGTATTTGAAAAATAAGCCCTAAACCAAACACACTGCCCCCGAGCAGATTCAGACTCATGGTGACTTGCTGTTAGGTTTCTGAGATTATAAATCTTAGCATGCACAGATGGCTTCATCTTTGTCCCATGGAGTGGCTAATGGATTTAAACCACCGAGCTTTGAGTTCACAGCCCAACACATAACAACACACAGTGCATTAAATCGATCAGTGTCCTTTGTTGAGAGTTAAGTTCCTTACCCGAGGCTGATTCAAACCTGAGTGCCAGCAGATACTAAATTTTCATCTGTGTACCTGAGACATTTTCCAAGTTTGGCACACAAAGACTAAGAAATCTTTGTTAATGGGGCTATCTAAATTCTGGCTCTTCAACTCTCTTTTCATTTTTAAGCTAAGATTTTGTATTTGTTTTTTGAATTTTAAAGCAAGGCACAGACAGTCTAGTTTCATCTTTGTGATAATTCATCAAATTAATCCATTTTCTCCAGCAACAATAATTCCCCTTTCCATCCAGCCATCACTTTGGATTCAGAGCTGCAGTCTGAAAATACTACTTCATTGATAGAATTTTGTCTATACTTTCTTCTTTTTAAAAGAATATAAATTTATCGACTCTTAACTGAAAACTTTAGGAAATCTGTTGTTATCAACATTAAATTTCTGCACAGAGACTTGTGACTGTCCACATTAAGTAGAATGCATCAGTATTGCCTTCTGTTAACTTTGTCCCATGGCGACCCCACAGGTTAGAAAGTAGGACTTCCCCACATGTGTTTTTGGTGTATTTTTGTGGTTGTACTCTTTATGGAAGAGATTGCCAGAACTTTGTGTAGCCCTTTTTTTTTCAAACTGCCAACCTCTAGGTTAATGGTCTAGTTCTCTATACTGAATAGTATTAGTGCCAACAAGTCTAAAATAAGAATTATCAATTACATGTCTAAAATATATGCTTACCTCTTAGAGTTAAATGACTCTGGACGTCCTCAAAACTAAAACTACACCTGGTGGTATAATCTATAACATGTTGTGCTGTTAACCTAGAGGCTGAGTATCTCCAGTGGTTTGAATCTACTAGTGGCTCATCAATAGAAATATGGGCAGTCATTTTCTGTTTTGCTTTGTTGTTGTTAGATGCTGTCGAGTTGCCTGTGAGTCATAGCAACCGTATGCTCAGTAGCTCTGAACCCTGTCCTGTCTTGAGCCAGTCTCACTGTCTCTGACTTACCTACCCGCATTACTTCAGTCATTGTATCAATCCATCTCACTTGGGATCTTCTCCTGTGCTGTCCCTCTACCTTTCCAAGCATGATGTCCTTCTCTGAGGACTGGTCTCTCCTGGCGACAGCAAGCCCAGAGTAGGTGAGACAGAGCTTCAGAATCCTTGTTGAAATCCTGTAGAGAGTCATTGCATTGAATTTTGAGTTTGGAAGTACCCTTACTCCACCAGAAGACACAACTGAAGTCTGTCTGAATGAGCTGTTTATTTTACTTGATGCAAACTTCTAAGAAGGATAATGACATGGTTTCCAAACCACTGAAAATTTGAAGGAATATTTCAAATAAGGAAAAGATTACTAAAGCAAAATGAGAAATGATGTTCTGAATTGGAAGAATGAGGACACAAAGCAATATAAAGTAGACACAATGTGAAAGCCCTAATGTGAGAGAACTTGCCAACCTGGCTGCTCCAGCAGAAATGGCCACCCTTTCAGAATAGTTTCCATCCTCCTTGGCCCTCAGTCATGGCTCCCAAGTGAGGCTGGGAGAGGCACAAAGGGTGTGGGCTCACCACTTTTATTTTGATTTGTCTAACATCGTGGTAGCTGTCTACATACTTTCATGGATTCTGATGCTTGGGATAGGACCTTCCAGGTATTAAGTCTTAGGAAGTCATGTGGCTAGCAATCAAATTTTATTGTAAAGGCTGTTAATTTTGATCTTCATTATTTTGATTTATGTTTGCTCTTCCTTTGATTTATAAATTGGAAATAAAGCCGGTGCCACATTTTAGGCCCCTAAAAATAGCAATACTAATGTATAACCATTTAATACAAGAGAGGAGCAGTCTATAAGCCTCAGTTATGAAGTGCTGTCAGGTCAAGTACAACTCATAACAACAAACCTATGAACAATAGACCTGATTTCTGTCATATCCTGTACTATCCTTATTATTCTTGACCTATTTGAGTCCTTTATCACAGACACTGTATCAATCCATTTCATTGGGGTATTTTTCTCCTTCGCATACCCTCCACCTTTCCAAGCATGATGTCACTTTTCAAGGAATAACCTTTCCTAACAATTTGCTCTACAAATAGAGGGATGCATATTTGTGTTCTGTTGACTGTGCAAAGGCATTTGACTGTGTGGATCATAACACATTGTGACTAACCTTGAGAAGAATAGGAATCCAAGAACATTTGATTAGACTCTTGTCAAACCTATGCCTAGCTCAACTGAGAAAAAAAAAAATCAAACCAAACCCACACAAAAAACAAAACACTGCATGGTTCAAAATTAAGAAAGCAGTGCATCAAGGATGTATCCTTTCTCCATGCCTTTTCAGTCTACATACTGAAGTGATCATCCAGGAGGTGGAACTTTTTGAAGAAGAATGTGGCATCAGGTTTGGAGGAAGACTCAACAACCTGCGCCATGCAGATGACACAACCTTACTCCTCGGAAATGAGGAGGACTTGAAGCAGTTGCTTCAGGTCTAGGACTGCAGCCTTCAATGTGATTTGTGTTATGAACATCAAGAAAACAAAGATCCTCACTAGCAGGCCAAAAGGCAGCATCATAGTAGACTGAGGAAAGATTGAGGTTGTTAAAGATTTCATCTCACTTGGATCCACAATCAACTTTTGGCACCAACACTTGGGAAATCAAAAGATGAATTTTCTTGGGGGAAATCTTCTGTCAGTGACCTCTCAGAGTACTAAAGAGTAACAGTGTCAATCTAGAGATCAAGGTGCACCTGATTCATACCATGGACTTCTCAATTTCTTGCTATGCATCTGAGCTGGAAATGAATAAGTATGACAGAAGAAGAAACAATGCCTTTGAGTTGTGGTGCTGGAGAAAAATGTTGAACATACTATGGACTACCACAAGAATAAACTTGACTGTCCTGGAGAGGGTGAAACTAGGTTGTTCCTTGGAGGCAAAGATTTTGGAGCTCCATCTTTCATACTTTGAGCATGTTGCCAGGATGGACCAATCCTTGGAGAAGGACAGCATGCTTAGAAGAAAAGAGGATCATCACAGAAGAAGTAGATCCTTGATAAAATGGATTGACACTGACTGTGGCAATGGGG